CTGTGGACTGGCTCTTGGATACTTGAGAGAGGTGAAGACGGGCACTTTGGGCTCAGTTTGGTGTCTGCCAGACCATGTGGAGCCTCGGACCTGGGAGGTTCTGTGGGGGTGTGCAAGGAAGGAACTGGTTTTCTGGGACTCAGGAGAGTGGCAGGGAGGTGTCGCATCTGTCTGAGCAAGGAGTATGGATGGTGTAGGGACTGCCTACACAGGGCCACTGGCAGGTGTGGGGATACCTGTGTCTGGGTGCTTGGGGACAGAGCAGGATGAAACCAGACAGCAAACCAGGAGTCGCAGGCATTGCTGGCATCGGACGTGTCCAAGCTGGCCATGGGCAGAGGGTGCTGGGCTGCTATTGCACCAGGACCCTGAGCAGGTGGACGAGCCTGGGTTGGGAATGTGGACCTCAGTTCCTGGAAGGGACCTGAGGGTGGGATCCTACACAGAGGATCTCAGGGCCAGTCAGCAAGGGGTGGGAGCTGCACTGGGCACGTTGGTTCTTGCCACGTGGAAACAGAACAGCCACAGGTGGGGGCCACAGGTCGGGCATCATCCCTCCCCTGACTCTCCTCACCTTTGATGGTCTGTACTGGAGAACGGACACCAGATGTGCCACTTGCTCAGGAACCCAGGCCTTGAACCTGATGCCAGACCTAGGGCCCAGACCCAGGCCCTGATGAATCCAGATGCTGAACTTGGGCTCTAAAGCTAGTCTCTGAACTTAGACCCCAAGCCTGAGTTGAAAGAATACAACCCTAGTCTGGAGACAGTAACTTTCACACTGTCCCTGGTTTCTTTTTTTCTTTTTAATTAATTGTTAGGGGCACATGTGCTCACCAGAGAGCGCATGCGAGTGTACCCCACAATGGGGCATGGTTACACCACTATCTTTTCCCATCTCTCCACCTACATGCCTACACCCTTCTGGCATGTTTTTCAAGCTGCAGAGGCCGGATTCAAACCGTGGTCGGCCATATGGGATTACCAGTGTACAGTGCTCAACCACTGTGCTATGGGGCCAGGGCCCACTATCCCTGTTTTCAATGGAAGCTTTAGGGTAGAAAGAACACTGCTCCTTACTGAGGAAAAGATCAAGGTTGAAGTGCTCAGAGGCCCTAACCTAGAACCACGAGTGGATGGCATTCCAAGTTCAGCACTTACTGGCCCTGTGGAAGGGAAGCTGGAAGGAGAAGCATGTTCCACCTGGTCCATTTCTGCTCGGGCAGTTTTCCTAAGGAGACTCTTCACCTGGAGTGACTTCCCATCTGGGTGACTGCAACCTCGCTTGGGGCCAGCAGAGGGCGATCTTGATTTTCTTCTTAGATGGTTCTAATCCAAAAGAATTTACAGTAACCAAGGGGAATACAAGTGCTGCAGTAAAATCAGCAGGCTTGTTCATGCTGCAGCTGTGCTTTTGTGGGTGCTCATCAGTACCCTGTAAGAGTCATTTCTGTGTGTCACCTGCCCAAGGAATCAGTTTTGTGAATTGACCAAAATATGTATTTTACAATGAAAATATATAATTTTCTAGTCATCTGTTAGCAGATTTGCACTCAGGATGAGTTTACTTCTGAACCTGAGCACCCGCAGCATTGCGAGGCTGCCAGAACAGCAGGTTCGGGCCCAGAGTGAGAGCCACTGTCACGCCCTGAGCAGGAAGGAAGGCGGTAAAATCCCTCTGCACTGCCCCCGTCCCTCACTCCTGGCTACAGGAGCACATTCCTGCGATGTGTGCCAAGCCTCCCACCCACAAAGTGACGTGAGGAGCCGCTGTGACATGGGGGCCACCTTGCTGTAGCTGCTGTGTGTTGGTGTTGCCTGGTTTCAACAGGAAGTTCAGGCCTGTTTGCTTGTCCCTAATGCTAAAACCCCATGCTGGGTGCATGTCTGAGCCCGCCTGTCGTGGGCTCACCCCAGATCTGACTCCTAGTCTGTGGACAGAGTGGGTCTGCTGATGGGCCAGCAGCCTTTGTTGAGGCAGTGACAGACCCTGTGCAGATGGTACTCTGGGGAGTGTCCACAGGGCTGTGACACTGTTGGGTGGCACAGCCTGGTCTCAATGTGCCTGGATGCCACCAGTTCTATTGGGGCAAGTTCCTTTTGGGGCCAGAAACAGTGCTAGGCTTGCAGGGCCCCATGTCCAGAGAGGTTGCAGAAGCCTGGCCACTCTGGCTTGAGGCTCTAGCAGTAAGTAGAACGTCCTGGATTGCCTGGTACCATCTCAAAGGCTGACGGGGTGGGGCAGGGGAATCCTGGGCAGCCTCTTCTCAGCATCTTCGTAGCTCAGCCTATACAGCCACACCCGACCCTCACCCATGTTATAAGATGCTGCAGCTGCACACCCTTGGAGCACGAGAGGCTCTGAGGTTCTCCTGCATGGCCGACTGCTCCTACTGCTCACTTACTCCATGGGCTGGCAGAGGGTGGACAGAGTCCTCCTCGTGAGTCCTTGCTTGAGCTCTGCACCTCCCAGCTGCAGCACCAGCTTCCTGCTGCTGGTCTGCCCAGAGGTGTGTCCAGGGGTGAGTCAGTGGGGGACCAGGGCCTACAAAGCAGGTGCTGGGCTCTCATCCCATGAGGCGCTGTCAACAGTCCTGAGCTCTCGTATGACTCGGACTGCACCACCAGGCGGTCTGCACTGTGCCTCTGCCTCAGCGTGTGGCCCAGCTCTCGGGTGAGCAGGCTCCATGCATCCTCTCACACAGCCCGGTGGGTGGGGCATCACAGTCTGGCCTGACTGCTTTCCACTGGGCCTTATGGACATGCTGACTGGAGGGCAGAGCCACATGGGGCATCATGTAAGGGCAGCTCTGGGCAGAGTAGGCCCCTCACCACCCACCCTCCCAGCCACATGGTCCAGCCAGCAGACTCACCCCAGGCTCCATGAGCATAGCTGCCCCTCCCCCAAGCTGTTCTGGGGGTGGCGGGAGGGCTGGCACTGAGGCTTCTGCTGGCCTCTGAGGCACAGGCTGACTGGGCCCCGTGAGTTAGAGCTACTTGGATGGGAAGTGTTACAGCCTCAGTGGAGAGATGGCTCTGCCCCTTTGTCAGCTGAACAGACACTTCCTAGATCCTTTCTCACAAACTGATTTTGAAAAAAGCCACTTCTCTGAAGTCCTTGGAGATTTTGCTCTCGCAGGCAGCTCGAGAGCGAAGAGCTGCCTGTAGATGAAGTGATTGGTGGGCTCGCCTGGCTGTGAGTGGCAGCGCCAGGGCTCAGGTGAGCGCCGCTTCCCAGAATAGATGCGGCAAGGCTGTATCTGCCCATCTCCCCTCCTGAAGCTCAGCGGCTCCGTGCAGGGCCACCGCATCTGCAGTGGCGTGTGCCGGGACAGGTGGAGGCCAACTAATGAATGTCGGTGTTAATTAGAGCCATTTTAATTAGAAATTATGAATGAGGTATTCTTCGCCAATTTTCAAATAAAATTTACGGAGGGTTTAAATCATTTCCCCTAGTGTTTCCCCATTTAGCAAGGGATTGGCATCGTTAACTCCATGTGTAGAACAGGCCGAGCTGGGAGCACTAATTCAATCACGTGTGATTTAAGTATGTTAGAACTTCTAACGAATGCGTAGGAGACTGAAACAAATACGATGCTACTAGTGAAAATCAGATGGCAAGCGTTCAGATATGGAGACAGGTTCTGAGCTCGTCCTTCAAAGCTCGGGCCTGTGCATGTTGGGGACGTGTCCCTTGCTCTCCTCCAGCACCTGAACAGGAGCACTCTGGGTATGGGGACTTCCTGTTTTTTACCTTTCCCTTTCCTGTTTGTCTGTTAGCGTTGATTTCTATGTAAATGTTTTCCTTTTGACATAGATGCTCTATCTTTAAAAAAATACTTAAACCAGTTTAAATATGTTTAACTGTTTGTTTTATGGAGTGTCTCCGTGTCAGTTCTGTTTGGAAGTAAACCAGGGATAAATCTGAACTAGATCAATATGGTGGGTCATTTGGTAGATTTAGTTTCCAGCCTTGCCCTGTTATAGGATAGGTGTAATAATCCACAGTTGCTTCATTCGTTACACTGATAAAAATCCTTGGAAAACTTTTAAATTGCCTGTCGTTTAATTACATAGCTAAGATCACCAATTATTTTGTATTGTGTAATTAACAAAATATTAATTTCCCACCAACCAGTAAGTCAGAAA